CCCGCGGGGCTGGCCCTGGGGCGGGGGAAAGAGGAGTTCTCCGCGCAGCACGGGGCAGGGCGGGGGAGAAGGAGACGATCCGGTCGGGAACCAAACGGGAGCATCGGTTTCGTTTTTTTCCCCCTCTGATTCTCCTTTTCCCCCTCTCTCTCCCCCGGCGCGGGAAGTCCTCGGCTTCCCGTTGGGTGGCAGCCCCGTCGCCCGCGGAGGAGGAAGCCGAGAGAGGAGCAGCGAGCCCGGCCTCCGCAGTGAGACCCGCGCCCGGCAGCCGAAGGTAAAGCGCCGGCCCCGGCTGCAGGAGCTGCCTCGGGGAGCGGTGGAGCCTGGCAGGCTATTCGCACCCCCCACCCCCCTTCACAAGTAATACGACTATTATCATCCTGCCCGGAAAGTGGCTGGAGGCCTGATGTGACAGGGCAGCCGAGGCCCATCATGTGCTGGCACTTGTGAACCGGCCTCTCGGGTCCAGCTCCGTACGCTTCGCTTGCAGCTCGGCGGCATGGCCGGGCCCGCGGCTCGCACCGACTCCGCGGCCAGGCCCGGGCGGAAATCTGCGGGCGTGTGGCCGGGGGACAGCGCCTGGGATCAGGCCCGCTTCTCCCAGCCACCGGCCCCGCCTGCCCTTCCGGGCCAACGAGGCTCGCCCCCCGCTCTGGAGAAGCCGGGGGTGGGGGTGGCCTGGGGAGAGGGCCAGTGGCCGGGACACGGGGCTGGCGCTGTCGTTGCCGGCACCGGTGTGCGTCGCCCGGCACGGGAGGCAGGTCGGCAGCTCCGCGGGCAGGGCGACGAGAGATGTCTTCCCACGGTGCCCAGAGCTGGGGCTCTGTGTCCCCGCTGCCCCCTCGCACTTACAACCCCCCACATTTTCCTGCCCCTCCGCTTGGTTTCGTTGCAAACTCGGCCGTCCCGCCAAGGGCAGAAGTGAAGAGCGGCGTTTCTCCTGCTCTCCACCTCCTCGCCCCCTTGCTCTCTTTTTTCGAGCTCTTTCCTCCCCCCGGGCCCTTTCCCTTCAGTCCTTGAGCCCCAAGCGGAGCGACTCCCCCGGGCGCCGGGCAGGCGCCGTGCCGGTGAGCCGCCTTTCCGCGCGGCTCGCTTTGCAGCGGGGCTGGCGGAGACCGAGCCGGGACGGCGGGGCCAGGAGCAGAGGGAGAAGGGAGCGGAGAAAAGTTGCCTCCTTGCAGGGAAACCCAGGCCTAGGCTCTGTCTCCCTGCCCGCTCTTCCCCGCCCCATAGGTGCAGCCTGCCGGCGCTTCAGGGCCTCTCTCCGGGCACCGCGCTCCGCCACGGACTGCTGCTTCTCCCTTCCCCGGTCGTGGAGGCGCCGGCCCTCCGGCTCCGGGCCAGATCCGGCTCCTGCGGCCCCGGGGCAGAATCGCGCCCGTCTCCGCACCGCCCGGCAGCGCCTTGGCCACCGCTGCGTTCGCCCGCCGCCGCCGAGCCCGGGTGAGTCCGGCTAACGACTTCTCTCCTCTCCCGACCCCTGTGAGCGTCATTGTCGCTTGTCTTGCAACGGCCCGAGCGTCCGATTGCAGGGACCCGCAGGCGACTTGCGCCCCGCAGTCGCGCCCAAGCCCGGCGCCGGAGCGGCTCGGCGGAGCCCTGCCCGCCAGCAAAGGGGACCCGAGTGGGGAAGGGCTGCGCTCCCCTCTCCGGTGCTTTGCACCCCTCGCCCTCGGCCGCTCCGGCCTGCGCCTGTCTTCAGAAGCAAGTTGGAGCAAGTTGATGGGGTTTTTTCGTTTTCCCCCGGCCGCGGCGGCGAAGCCGAGTCCCGCTCCCCGGCTCGCAGAGCCCGGCGCCCGCCGCGTGCCCCGCGCCCGTGCGGAGGCTCAAGCCGAGCCCGCGGGGCCCGCCGGCGCTTACCTTTGTACTCCGAGTCCGAGGACACGTTGCTGCTACTTTTGTCCATTTTCTCTCTAAAATCCTCCCCGGGCTTGGCGGGGCCGCGGCCCGCAGGCTCCGGCCCGCTCTGTCCATTGGTGCTAGAGTAAGGCGCGCAGGCTGCCAGGGGCTTGCAGTCGGCGAGGATGTCCCTGATTAAGAAAGACGAGGTCACCGTTCTGGACTGGGACGGCGCCGACACCTGCCCCGGCTGCAGGTGCGAGTCCAAGCCCACGGCGACGCCTTGCCTCTGCGCCACCGCCTCCAGGCACTCCCTGCCCGGCGAGGGGGGCGACGGGCAGCCGCTGCTGACTTCGGAGCGGGGGCTTAGTTCCAGCGGGGACCTGCAGTCCCCCAGCAGCGGGTCTCCCTTGGGCACGGCCGGGCTCCCCGGGCGGTGGGACAGGATGGAGTCGATCCCGAAGCCGTTGGACCCCTCCATGGCCTCGCACGCTCCCGCCGCGGGTCAGGCTGACATGGGCTGGGCGGCGGGGCTGGGCGCGATCAGACAAAGTTCAGCCTGGGAAGCCAGGGACCCGCTCGGCCAACAGTCCGCCGCGCTCTGGGCATTAGATCCAGGGCTCAGCCTTTCTTCTTCAGCGCCCCAAGCAGCTGCAGGCGGAGGGGTGGGGGTGGGGGGGAGACAAACAAGACAGGCACACAGAGAAAGGACAGACCGTCAAACTTGGCACGGGGAGCCCCCCACTCCCGCAGCCCGCTCGCATCTCGCCGCCTCCCCCCTCCCCGTG